CCGGTCAGCAGCGGTACTGGCAGCGACCCGGTACCGGCCAGCGGCACCTGCACACCCGGCCGATCTCCTGCAGACGGTAGACCCGGTACGGACGCCGGCAGCAGCGCCGACACCACTGGTCGGCCAGAAACAGACGGGTCGCCAGACTCGCCCAGAGTCGGCGAGGACAGAGACAGACAGCTGGGAACGGGAAACGGCGCCAGCGCGGCGGATCAGCCGGTAACTGCTGGCACACAAGCAGTGAACGCCGGAGCTGGGACCAGCACACGCGGCGGCCGCCGGTCCGGCAGGCGCCGGAAAGCAACCCGCCGACTTATAATGGAACTGTGATTGAAACGAACAGGTCGTATACTGTGAGCCAATCTTTGTGTGATTCTCTGTAACCTTACCGCCACGAATAAGTGAGGGGCAGCGACCTTTTGTTCCCACACCATGACTCCCCGGTGTCTTGAGAAGCTGGACTTGTGTTTTTTTTTTATCGTCGTTGCACTCTGATATGTTCGTTACCTCTTCGCATGGTACCGTGCGTTCGATTTTAAGGAGGGCGATGCGTCGGGGAAATTGACGTAAAGCAGCTGTTTGTAGAGGTCGATGTTTGGATCTTTTTTTTTTTGGTTGTGTTTTTGTACGCCGGTGGGATTAACGCGTTGTTTAGTTACAAGCCCGAACGCTGATGTGGTTACACCCATTTTAATTAAGGAGGGTAAGGTGTGGTGGCGTCGCCCGTTAATGTTAACAGGACTCCCTCCGCCGGTAGAAATCCCCCTGCTTTGGCAGCATTGTTACCGTGCCCGCGTAGATGGCAGCACGGGGGGAGAGGGAAGTCGCGCGCCGCCCCCGGCACGGTCCGGGTAGGATCCGTGTAAACGTGTGATCGTGGATCGCGCAGCCAAGAATAAACCTGCCCAAGAACCGCGTAGTCTCGCCAGTCGGCTCACGACACAACACATCAGATTCCGGTTGAACCTGCCGACATTCCGAAGACGGCGATCGTGACGCCCTTCGGCCTCTTCGAGATGTGCCGCATGAGCTTCGGGCTCCGCAACGCCGGCCAAACATTCCAGCGCTTCATGGACGAGGTGATGCGCGGCCTGACGTGCTGCTACGTGTACCTCGACGACATCCTGGTCGCCAGCACGTCCCACGAGGAACACCGCCGCCACGTCCGCCAAGTCCTGGAGCGCCTGGACAGGTTCGGCATCACCGTCAACCCGGAGAAGTGCGTGTTCGGCGCCGGCCGAATCAAGTTCCTGGGCCACGACGTATCACCGGACGGCATCGCCCCTCTGCCGGAGAAGGTCTCTGCGGTGAAGGACTTTCCGCAGCCCGCCACGCAGCGCCAGCTACGCCGCTTCATCGGCATGGTAACCCACTACCATCGGTTCCTGCCGGGTGCCGCCAGCCTCCTCTGTCCGCTGCACCGTCTCCTGGACCACAAGCGCAAACGCGCTGCACCGCTGGAGTGGACACCAGACGCAGAGAACGCCTTCCAGCGCGTCAAAATCGCCCTGTCACAGGCCACCCAGCTCGCGCACCCCACGCCCGGGCCGCGCTGAGTCTGCAGGTTGACGCCTCGGACACCGGGGTCGGCGCCGTGCTACAGCAACACATCGACGGAGCCTGGAACCCGCTGGCATTCTTCTCCAGGACGCTGAAACCGCCGGAGACCCGCTACAGTGCGTTCGGCCGTGAGCTGCTGGCCGTGTACCTGGCGGTGAAGCACTTCCGGCACTCTCTTGAAGGCCGCCCCTTCACCATCTTCACCGACCACAAGGCACTTGTGTCGGCCATCGGCTCCGGCTCTGTCAGCTACTCGCCCAGGGAGATCAGGCATCTCGACTTCATCTGCCAGTTCTCAACAGACGTCCGTCACGTGCCGGGCAGCGAGAATGTGGTGGCCGACGCACTGTCCCGGACCGTCAGCATGCTGAAGTCGCCGACGCCGCCGCTCCAGGACTTCGAGGCACTCGCGGCAGCACAGCAGGAAGACGGCGAGCTGAAGGCGTACCTCGACACGCCCCACAGCCTGCAGGTGCGCGCCGTACCGCTCGCTGGAGGGAGCTCGCTCCTCTGCGACGAGTCGACCGGCTCACCGCGACCGCTCATCCCAACCGCCCTCCGACGGCACTACTTCCAGCTGCTGCACGGTCTGTCGCACCCCGGCGCCCGCGCGACACAGCAGCTCATCTCCAGCCGTTTCGTCTGGCCGGGACTGAGCAAGGACGTGCGCGACTGGACCCGCAGCTGTGTCGCCTGTCAGCGCTCCAAGGTCCACCGGCACACCCGCGCTCCGGTAGCAACATGGACGCCTCCCTCCGGTCGCTTCGAGGAAATTCACATCGACCTGGTAGGCCCGCTGCCGCCCAGCGAAGGTCAGACCTTCCTCCTCACCTGCGTGGACCGTTTCACCCGCTGGGTGGAGGCTATCCCTCTCCCTGACATCAAGACGCCCACCGTCGCCAATGCATTCGTGTCCGGCTGGATCGCACGCTTCGGCGTGCCGACACGTGTCACCACCGACAGAGGTTCGCAGTTCGAGTCGCACCTCTGGCAAGAACTGTCTGCCATCCTCGGCTGCACCCGCCACCGGACCACCAGCTACCACCCGCAAGCAAACGGACTCGTCGAGCGGGTGCATCGCCAGCTGAAGGCAGCCCTCCGGGCCCACGGGAACGAACGCTGGACCCGCTCGCTCCCGCTGGTGTTGCTCGGCGTCCGTTCAGCCGTCAAGACAGACCTGGACTGCACAGCCGCGGAACTGGTGTACGGCCAGCCACTCCGCCTGCCGGCCGAGTTCCTCGGCGACGCGCCGACCGCCGCCGGCACGGACCCAGCCTCGTACGCCGCTGGGGGGAGGGTGGTGTAGCGACAGCTGCGCCACCTCGCTTGCTCAGTCTGCCCCTGGCGGCAGACCGCGAAGCTCTACTTGCGCCGCTACACACAGATGTCACTTTTACTTTCACCGTTTCACCAGTGCTTAACTTCTGTTGCTGTTCTCTGTTATTATCATGATGTAATTAACTTCACCCTCTCTACTCAGACATAAACCTGCACCACCTCGCGGTACCGACTCTATCGTTGTTTGCGTCCTGCATTATATGTTAACTCCCTGCCTGACACGCCGTTACTACCAATGTTCTCCGTGGCTCAAACATGTAAAGCCAAACTGTTCAGTACCGTTGTTTAACTGGTCTCTTTGATCGACACGAGCCTCACTCGTTTAAATATACGCCTATACCTCCTACGGCGCGGTTTAGCCCTACGGGCACCACTGGGACGGGCCAGCGTCCACCTTGAGGAGGGTATCGATCATAGGGGTGGAGGAGAGTGCACGGGGGACACGGCCCAACCGGCTGGGACATCTACCCAGTACGAGGGATGACAGTGGCGAATCCCGTTTGACTCTCCAAAGCCTCTCCCTCTCCGACTACGACATCTGAAGAGTTCGCCGGCTCTCCGAGGGCACCACACCACAACCCCATATATTGAGTATCTAAACCTCCTGGACCCTCTCAGATTCGGCACCGGCCGTTCCATCTCTTCCATCCTCAGGACAGTCAAATCCTTCTCCTCCACGCCGCAACCCCCTGCTCCGGGCTGGACGGGCAACTCTATCCCATGCGGGAATGGCTCCACTGGAGCTATAGTCCTTTGCCGGGTGCAGTGAGTGCGAGTGGGCTGGGCTGCCTGTTCAATTGGTCGGGTTCATCCCAAGTGGCTCACTGGGGTGGCTGCCCCGACCAATGTCTCCCACTAATTCTTTCATACTTGCGGCTCTGAAATGGTCTCATTTGACCGAAGGGCCTAATCAAATTTCGAGTAGGATAACAATAAGTAAAACGCCTTTTGGGGCGACCAACGGAGCGAGCGAGAGGGTGGGGTGGGCCTTGCACGTGCGAGCTTGCGAGGGGATACATCCAACTAACTTGTGCACTGCACCCTTCTAACCGGTCCCTAACGATGTGCCAAATTTGAGCGCAATCGGCCTAGCCGTTCTCGAGATCTGGAAGCGGCACCCTGCACGTGCGCACGTGCAAAATGGGTCCCAACTGACTTTTGCACGGCACCCTACTAACCGGTCCCTAACCATGTATCAAATTTCAGCACAATCGGTTCAGCCGTTCTCGAGATCTGGAATCGACCCCTGCATGTGCGCACGTGCGTCGTGCAGCAGCATCCCAACTGTGGCACACGGATATGCATTGCCTAGTGGGTATACCTATACCAGCTACATGCCAACTTTCAGCGCAATCGGCCCAGTAGTTGCCGAGATATTGAAATTGTTACAAAACTGACACCTCTTCGTTTTTCACGTGGCACGTGCATAATGCATATGGGGTCACTCACATGCATCGGGAATAGTCCGATGCTCGTTAGAAGGAATGAATCTAGTGCTACCCTACAAAAATTACCGCATGTAAATCGGTCAAGTGGTTACTGAGATATAAGCCTAGCAAAAGCGTGACCAGTACGGCATATCAGAAATTTCCGTTAACCTACGAAAGACTACGCTCGCTTCGCTCGCTCCGTAATGAGTTTGGGGGGGACGTCCCCCTTCCATTCTGAGAGTGGGGGGGACGCGTCCCCCCGTCCCCCCCCCCCGGTGGCGGCGCCCATGCGTGTGGTTCTGTCTGTGTAATTGTAGTTAAGCCGGCTAAACGTCTCACCTGTATCCGATTCCGATTGGGAATGAATCACTGGTTGGGCAAAAAAAAGGCTGACAGAGTTCGTTGTTTCATATTAAAAACTGTCGGTTTTTGTCCTTACATATGATATGTGTTACGATGTAATTTTAAGAAATTTTTCTATAAAAACTTTAAGTGGGAGCCAAAAGATGTGACTTTATCATTATAAACATTCGTCCCGACATGCAAATTGTTTCAGCATTAGCGCTCAATCAATCCCAAAACGAAAACTACATATTTATCCATGAACTGCAGCAGTTTAGTAATTTTCAACTTTCTACATGACATCGATTTAACGGGACAAGTAAGACAGATACTGCGCTAGTGTGACGAACCTGGCTTTTGGGCTTGGCTTCGCGGTGGGAAAAGTTAATTGCAATGCAACTTTATTGAAAATTAGTGAGTATTTTACATACCTTCCTGTCCAATTGCTCTGGAACTGGTTCAGAAAGTAACAACCGTCCAGGCAACAGTGTGGGATGTGCTATTGTTACACAGATGGTTCTGTTCTGCTGGCATATTGAGGAGACTCTACTCGACTCACTCGATGGGCTGAGAACGCTGTTGGGAACCGGAATCACTGCTGATGAGAGATATTGATATGAAAAAGCCATATTAACACCATTTTTCTTTTTTGTATGTTAAATTCTGTCAAAAGCGATTTTGCGCCCCTACAAAATATTATTAAAATGTTTGCTGAAGATGTTTTTCAGTAGGCGGAACTATGGTCATGAGTACCCAAATATAGGAACGTTCCCATTTTTGGGAATTAAGGTCCCAAATATGGGAACGGGAGTTCCTATTTATGGGAACTAAAGGCAATTTTTTTATTGTTTGCCACTAAAACTCATTTCTGCATCAGACCAAAAAATGGCATGCTGATTTGGTACCTATCTACTAAATCTCCATAAAGTTTTCTGTAATCTGACTGTTGAATGAGGAAATTGACTGTTGAATGATATTTTCAATTATTTTTTGAAATGGCAGAATGGTGAAAATATAGGTATAGGCCTCTGTTGACCTAGGTTTACTCCTGTGCACTGCACGTGCAGTGCTTATTGTTCAATATCTGTTTGTTTCATGCACTCATCTGTCATATGATAATGCATGTTTCTGGATATATACCTATGTCTGACAAATAGCAAATATTCACAGCTGTTCTAGTTGGCATCCGATTTGTAATAATCCAAGATGCCACTTTGGGGTAAATCCCAGAAGAACCCTGTTGATGTGGTCAAGGCCATAAAAGAGGGCCTTGTGGCTTTGGAGAGAGGAGACAAGAAGTCAGAAAAGGTAAGCCCTATAATTTAACAATATGCCTGCATAACATTTGGTAAGTATCTACTATCTAGTTATCTAGTTATAATGTAGTTAATTTTGTGTGGTATTCCTGCCAACAGCAATCTTTCCATATTCCATATAACTCCTCAGTGTATTACTGAAGTGATGTGGTCTGACATAGTTAGTATTACTCAATTTGATTTTTAACATTAATATGCATGTTTGTTATTACAGGCATTGGAAGATGTCAGCAAGAACTTGGGCTATGCCAAGACCATGCTGTTTGGATCTGCAGAGCAGGAGGCTCAGTCTGACTACCAGCTGGCCAGCCTGGCGCAAGAGATGTATAATGCCAACCTGCTGTTCCTGCTCATCAGTAACCTGAGCAAAATAGATTTTGAGGTACCTGATCTTCACATTTCTTTGGGAACATAAGTTGTATTCCCCTGAGTGTATTCCATTTAAAGTCGATCCCTCAACTTGGAAATATTCAGCAAGTTAGTGTTATCAATGTGGCGAGCCTAACTCATTTCTTGCTGGTTGTAATACCAGTATGATAACAGATGTGTAGATATGGAGTGGATACTGGGTATGTCATCAAGTCTTCTAGTCATGCTATGTTTTGTTTGCAAACAGGGCAAAAAGGACGTGACTCACATCTTCAACAACATCCTGCGGCGCCAGATTGGCACCCGCTCGCCCACGGTCGAGTACATCTGCACCAAGACCGAGATCCTGTTCACTCTCATGAAAGGGTGAGTGAGCACTTGCACGCTGGCTGAACCACAAGGCTGAAGGCACAGTACTGACCAGTACCTGTCTATTAATGGACAAATAATTTTTATCTGGAGGCAATCAATTGAGAATTGACGACGGAGCGAAAATTTCGTCTAATTTAAAACATTAATCATTGTCGATGCTCAACAGTTTACAAATGAAAATATCAGCGGCTATTTTTTACCAGCATCTGCTACCTCGTGTTTATTATTTACGCGAGACGGAGTCAATTGTTAATTTTGCTCTCTTTCTTTCTCAAATATCGCTCACTCGCTCTCTCTCCGACGCGTCCTTCTGCAGGTACGAACACCAGGAGGTGGCTCTCCACTGCGGGTCGATGCTCCGCGAGTGCTGCCGCTACGAGCCGCTCGCCAAGACAATGCTGCACTCGGAGGAGTTCTACAAGTTCTTCACCTACGTCGAAGTGTCGAACTTCGACATTGCCTCAGACGCCTTTTCCACATTCAAGGTACTTTACTGAAATTGCCTATCCCGCCTCGAATTGTTTCTGGCCAGGTCAATGTATGAACGTTCGACTCTGATTAAAAATGTTCCGCTTACCCGGAGGCCGGAATACGTTGCTCGGGTCGTTTATGAGTAGGTCAAAAGATGTAAAGAGAGTCGTTTGGTGTGATCGTGCTCTGGGATTTCACTCGTCGAAAATTATCATGCTTGAGTTGACTGGCATTGTTGTTTACGGTTTCTACCCTATTTATCCCTGCAGGAGCTGCTAACCAAACACAAGATGCTGTGCTCGGAGTTTCTGGAGCAGAACTACGACCGCGTGTTCGACCAGCACTACAAGCAGCTGCTGCACTCTGAGAACTACGTGACGCGCCGGCAGTCGCTGAAACTGCTGGGCGAGCTCCTGCTCGACCGGCACAACTTCACCGTCATGACCAAGTACATCTCCAGCCCCGACAACCTGAAGCTGATGATGAACATGCTCAGGGAGCGATCCAGAAATATCCAGTTCGAGGCCTTCCATGTGTTCAAGGTGAGTCCGGAGAAGTGTTCGCGTGGGCTGGAAGAGGGTGGCATGGATTGGCCACAGTAATTCGAACGCTGTTTGGCGCGAGAATCTGGGAACATGTCTAGGTTATGATAATGTATTATGTTATGTTATGATAAGGTTATGATAAAGATTATGATAATGTCTAGGTTTTTATGACTCACGACTCGTTTTATTTGTCGTCCTTTTATGGAACCTTTTTTTTCTTCCCATGTGTATCGACATCGTCCTAATAAATTCGCTTATAATATCACCCTTGTATTATACGATGTGTTGTTTAGTTGGTGTAGCCATGCGTAGCCCTTGTCGTACTCGTTTGGAAGGGGAAACTTCCGCTTCCTTTCAATAACACCTCTCTCCACCGACAGGTGTTCGTGGCGAACCCGAACAAGCCCAAGCCGATCCTGGACATTTTGATACGAAACCAGGAGCGACTAGTCGACTTCCTGACGCGCTTCCATACAGACCGCAGCGAGGACGAGCAGTTTAACGACGAGAAGGCCTACCTGATCAAACAGATCAAGGAACTGAAGCCGCCGGCGGCCGTGACGGACCAATAGCGGCCGGGGGGCCGGCGCGGAGCGGGCGGGGACGGGTGGGCGGCGGCGACAGTGCCGCTCTCTGGCGGCACGCGGCGCGCAGAGAGTGATGTGCAATCGTGAGGCGCCGGCAGCGCGGGCGGAGTGCCGTCCGCGCGGCGAGCGCCGGCGCGGTCAGGGTGACGAGCCGGGAGTAGTTTTAACTTGAGAGCCTCGCGTATGATCACTATGTGAACGGTAATTACTGATCTGCCTGTGGAGATGGGCCAACCATTGCCTTGCCGTTCTGGTATTACTTGGTATATGTTTTTTTTTTAATATCGGTGATATGATGTCACTATGACATGACTTCCTTGTGGGCATTTCGCCAGACGCCCGGTTTCTGACGGGGGCGGATTTGTGGAGGAGGGGGGGGGGGGGTTCCGGGCGGCCCGGAGGTGAATCATGTGGTCACGACTGTTGGCGACACGCCGAGGGGCAAATTGGGGGCTGTCGGCTTTGTTTCCAGTTACTGAGGGTCTGTGCAGACGGGGCAGACGGGCACGCGGCGGGGCGGCTAGGCACGCAGCGTTTCCGGCCTTTGTTAGTCGAACCACGCATGGCTTTGCTCACCACTTGTTGAATGTTCCCGGCTGGGACCGGGTGAATATATTCAGGCCTACGCTGTCTGCGTGTTTGGCTTTACAACTTGTGCCGGATCTATCGTAGTAGGAACAGTATCGTAGAAGTAGGCCGTGGACGCTGCTCACCTGGTGTTCTGGGATGTAGGGATAGCACCAAGCAAACTGTGTGTGCCTGGTCATGGTTCAGTGCTTTGAAAGCACACTTTTCTAGACTAGATTGAAATGCGCTGTCATCGTACATATTGCCTGGGAAGTCAAAAGACTAAAAGGGTATTTTCATGTTCAATTTATATCAAGTTGTATAGCACGGGGGGTTGTACATTGTACAGTACACATAAAAGCATTACATTGCTAAGCAATTATTGTGGAAGATAGAATGTGCATATTGATAAACAAACCACTGTCAGAAGAACCACAGACGATCTGTGCTGTCTGCACTGGGGACCCACCCTCGGTCTTTTCATCTCACTAACTAATGGAACCGTCCCTGCTGCATACATTTGGGTACAGCCCTCGCAACTACATCGCCACATCAAAGCTCTAGCTGTACCCGACCAGACTTGCCGTGGGCCACAATGCTCAAAGCTCTTTCCCCCTACCGGGGACCGTTTCCGCGCCTCGCAAACTTATGCTGTAATGAGTTACATCCCTCCAGTGCTGGTCACCACATCAGGGGGCGCCCCCGTTCGCTCAGATACCTGTCCTCTGGCATCATACGGCACAGCGTACTCATCGCCGACTGCGCCATCTTCCGGTCGGCCGGCGAAGCTCAGCTTCGGACTCTGCCGCTGCCCCTGTACCAGCGGCACGGAGTACTCGACGGCGAGGTTAGCTGGGCTGACGGCCGTCGGCGGGGGCTGGTCGGACGCGGACGGGGCGCGGTAGTGGGGGTTCACCAGACCGGCCGAGCTCACAGGGCTGCTGGAGGGAGGCGGCGGCGGCAGTAGCTCGGCGTTCCCCCGCCGCGCCGCCGGCTGACCGTACAGCCAGGAGGCCCGCGGGGAGCCCCCACTGGTGCTGACGGGAGACTTGGAGCCGGCCGCCGTCATCGGAGCGCTGAAACACAACACAATGTGCGCGATGGAAAGCAGCACTTGTGAAACAATGCCCACAGAAACACCGTTAGAGAGCTTAAGCGAGGGTCCCTGGCCCCGGTCTCTCTTCGACCTTGTCAACACCTGCCGGCAGCGATACACATTAACGTTGACGTAATCGTCGACGAAAGATTCGATACATATTAGACAGCGCATTATGTTTCTAGAAACTCATTCTCAAAATTTGTTTGTTTTGTTGGGTTAGGCCCTTTCGGTCTGACAAGACCATTTCAGAGCCGGAAGGATGATAGGAATTAGGGGGAGACATTGGTCTGGGCAGGCACCCTAGTGAGTCGCCGGGGCTGAGCCCGTCCAGAGGATAAGCCACCCAGCCCCAAGGCACTCACTGCACCCGGCTACGGGGTGCGCTCCCTCGGGAGCAGCGGTGCCGCTCCAAGGGAGCAGCCCGCATGAAATAAAGTTGCCTGTCCAGCCCGGAGGGGGGTGGCGGTGTAGAGGAGAAGGATTTCAGTATCCTGAGGATAGAAGCATGGAACGGTCCATTCTCAAAACCTAGACTGGACGGATAAGCCTACAATCGCGCGACTGTGCCGTGCGGTACAGCCTACCTTCAGGCGCTCAGTTATAGTGACATCTATCGGCAAGAGCACACGCTAAAAGTCATCAAACAGGCTACGATCTCGCGACTGTGCCATGTGGTACAGCCTACCCTCAGGCGCTAGCTTGAGGTGACATCTATCGGCAAGAGTATGCATTAAAAGTCACCGAACCGCCTGATCGAGCGACTGTGTCGTGCGGTACAGTCTACCCTCAGGCGCTAGCTTAAGGTGACATCTATCGGCAAGAGTATGCATTAAAAGTCACCGAACCGCCTGATCGAGCGACTGTGTCGTGCGGTACAGCCTACCTTCAGGCGGACTTTCTTAGTGACATCTATCGGCAAGAGTATGCACTATAAGTTACCTACGCTTGCGCAGCCATGTCATGCGGCACAGTTTACCTTCAGGCGCTAATTCGAGTGACACCTATCGGCAAGAGTACGAACTAAAAATCACCGACCGAGCCTACGATCGCGGGACTGTACCATGCGGTACAGTCTACCTTCAGGCACTCAGTCGCAGTGACACCTATCGGTACGAAAGCGCACTAAAAGTCACCGACCAGAGCCAACGCTCTCGCGACTGTGCCATGCGGTACAACAGCCTATCTTCAGGCACTCACTCGAAGTAACATCTATCGGATTCGGCACTATGGAAACTTTGGAAAGTGCCATCAGCCATGCAAAACGCTGATATCCATTTTACCAAACAGTAAGCATGGATTAGCTCCGTCATGATCCTGTGCCTAGGTAGGTAAATGAAAATCCACTTGTTGATTACGAGCGAGCGAGCGCAGCGAGCGAAGCGAAGTCTTTTCAATATAACGGAAAAATCTCAGTATGAGCGGCCCGGCCCGGCCCGGCCCGGCCTGTAACGCTTTTGAGAGGCTTATATCTCAGCAACCGCTGGACCGATTGGCCTGCGGTCTTTTTTGCTGGGTGGCCCCATCCCTTCTACCCCGTAATTGACTACTTTTGATACATCTCAGTGACCGTCGTGGCACGTGCCACGTGAAAAGTCAAGGTTGTTCAAGCTGTCTTGCAAAAGTAGTGATTTTGAGAGGCTCATATCTCAGCAGCCGCTTGGGCGATTGACTTGCGGTAATTTTTGTAGGGTAGCAGCATCCCTTCTACCAAAAATAGGATACTCTCGATGCATGTGGGTCACCCCCAGTGCACGTGCAAAATACAACAATAAGAAGTGTCAAATTTGTTCCCATTTTAATAACTCGGTAATTGCTGGGGCGATTTCGCTGACACTTGGCATACAGGTAGGCACCCACCAGGCAATGCATTCCCATGTGTTGCGGTTAAGGTGCTACTGCACGTGCGCACGTGCAGGGGGCGCTTCCAGATCTCGAGAACGGCTGGGCCGATTGCGCTCAAATTTGGTACACGGTTGGGGACCAGTTAGTAGAGTGCCGTGCAAAAGTCAGTTTGGACCCCGTTTGCACGTGCGCACGTGCAGAATGCCGCTTCCAGACCTCAGGAATGGCTGGGCCGATTGCGTTCAAATTTGGTACACCGCTACTCGCTAGCGACCGGCTAGAAGGGTGCTTTGCGCAAGCCCGTTGGAAGTACCCTCTCGCCATTCCGCACGTGCAGGGCTCACTATCTCGCTCGCTCGTTCTTCGCCCAAAAGGCGTTTTACTGGTATTACGATATATGTAACTGGACATAGCCGATTTGACTGCTAAAAAATAAGTCACGTCTCCTTCATTGGACCAGTAACTAACAACATTGATGTATGATCAATTCGTGAAACATGCATCACTAAGGTGCGCATGCTTTGGTCTGCACTTTTCTCTGGATGCCTAAAAGTGGGACGATTTGTGTATGTGCGCATGCTTATACATTCGCGAGAAAGTTGAGTGAATGCAACTAAAATGCATCTCCGTGAGCGTGCGTGCGTGCAACTGCATGTGCCCTCGACTGACCTGTAGGCGTTATCGGTCACCAGGTTGGCGGCCAGCTCATGGCGCCGGCCCCCGTAGCGGGAGAGCCGGCTCAGACGACGGATGTAGGTGTACGCCTCCCAGCCGCTCTCGTTGTCCCGTTTGTGTTTCATGTAGCTGGCCGCAGCCAGTAGAACACAGCCGAGCAGGAGCATCACTCCGGCCACGGCGCCCAGGGCAGTCCCCAGCAGTCCGTCTGAGGGAAACAGTCCCGATATAACACCGCCGTCCCCAGCAGTCCCCCTGAGGGAAACAGTCCAAATTCACCACTCACCAGCCTAAAGCGAAATAATAAATGTTCACAAATGTATGTAATCAAAAGTTAACTTGACCAAAAAATCAATCTTAATTTTATTTTCAATCTTATTTTATTTTCAACTTTCAACAGCGATCCCGATGTATTATCTATTGTTTTCAACTTTCGGTAAAACCCATACCATTAAAACGTTCCGTAGCTCACATCGTATGACACAATTAGTGAACTGACGTAACGATTGCATGCATAGGACACATAGCTGATGGCACCGACCTACCGTATTATAAAATACCACACAGTCCCGGTAAATTATTTCTTAAGGACAGAAAGTCGTCGTTTGATTTCCTCCGTTTCTGCCTCCGTTTATGTCGCCCCATACCTGTTGGGCAGAAGTCTGCCGGCGTCCAGCGGCCCTCCCGGCAAAACACGGCTCCTTCGGCGGTGCTGTATCCGGCGCATGTGACGTTGGCGGCGAGCAGGTGCGGACTGGGAGGAGGGTCGTACCGCTGGCCCGAGCCCACCGCCGGACTGCCGCACATGGACGGAGCTGTGGTGGCCAGGGTGCGGGTCACTGATAGCGGTGATAGCGGCAGAGTCGTAAAGGCGGCAAAACGGCTTATAAAAAGGCACTTCTCATGCAGAGAGGTAAATAGAAGGTTATGGTTGTGCAGTGTGCAACAATGCATCGCTATCGTGACTCCCTCCCCTACGGAAGGACAATATCGGCTTTAACTCGGCCTGCTATATGTCGTGCCAGTTGCTGGACCAAGGTTAGGCATACTGACCTGTTTGACAAATGAACATCCACTTCTCTTCGCAGGGCTCTGGTGCGAAGCCCCATCGTTTGATTTGTTTGATTCCGATACAGTACTCTTTCCCAGATGGCGGTGGGCTACTACCGTCTGTAAGTTCAAATGATCCCGTGAATTATAAAAAAAAAAAATCATCCCAGTCAAATCGGGAATACATTTGAAAAGTTCAATTAAAGGGCTCTTTTGAGTTTTGGGTACCTAGCGGTTAAAAACTGCATATGTGTTATTCAAATCACACCGACATTGTGCTAAACCGGTACTGACGCTAACTTCTTAAGCGTCTATGGAATAACTTCAAAAACAATTAATTTTTCTTTAGGTTATTGAGCTGCTTATTTTATATCGTTTTTCCATGTGATCTAGGACAATCGCTCATCCCATTGAATAAGGGATAGCAGCTTGTTTCTGTCATCCAGGCTTCAGCCTACCTTCAGCGTTGCGCGTCTGTTCGTCATCTTGATCTTCGCCTGCTGTCCAAATAAACTCGTTAGCCCATCTGTTCGCCAAACATGATTGTCTGGGAGAGAACCGTAAAACGATGTGTTATAATCAAAACATTCTAGAACGAAATAACGTCTACCTTCTGGCCATCTACGGACGTCCCTAGATGGTACTAGTAGTAAGCGCCTGCAGGTAGACTGCGCCGCAACACCTGCATTATCTCGCGACTGCATTGCAGCGCGTAGAAAGCAATTCGACGTTATGGCTCACACCTGTAAGGTGGCGTTACATTGTGAAGTGTCATTGGAAAGGATTCTTATGCTCACTGACAGTCGTGGGTAGCTCGATGAATCACATATCTTCAATGAGATAGACGGGTCCATATTTTTATTATCGGTAATTCTGCTTTTACCGACTGGTGCCAGCCTCTGATGGCTGTAGGACAGTGGGGAGGAGCGTAGTTACCTGAGCACGAGCTGGGCGATGTTGTGTACCCCGCTGCTGTGAAGCCGCACCAGCTGCCCGCTCGGCCCGAGCTGACGGCAGAGGGTGGCTGCGGCAGCCCGCGACAGCCGGTCGCTGAACAGGTGATAGCAGAGCGGGCCGGCCGCCCAGCTGATCGCCGGATCATCATCTGACACGACCGGTGACGGCGGTAACCGGCACTGCTGACTGGACACTCCTGAGGGTCAGTACAGTCAGTGGGGCGAGACTGCCGTGGTCAGAACTCGAGGTAGAGGCCTTCGTGGGACGGTGCGATTTTCTCTGAACTGCGCCCACAATCGAAGTAATGTTTCGGGGAAAATGACTGTCAATTTGAAACAAATTGGATAGCCGGTAGCTTCCGTGTTTCCTAGTTGTGAGGGTATTTGTACCAGCCTTGCATAACAACGTCGACATTTAGAGTTGGAAGTTGGAAGGAAGACTTGTAATCTGTTCGGTACTGTTACCAAGCGAAGCTTCCAAGCAAAACAGCAAGGGGAAGTGTTCTGCTTCCAAGTGCAGAACAGTGAAGAAAACCAGCGCTAATTAGCTCTCTTGCGCACGAGTAAGGCCCTCCCGAATATTGCATGACAAAAATATTTTTACGACCGTCATTTCTTGAGATTTAGTGCGTGTCGGCCTTTTCGGGGGTCAGTAGTAGTGTGAGGGTGGGGACGGTAATTGTAAGGACGTTATTCAGCAACGGGTAATCAGTTTTTAAACATCTTTTACACATTCACTTACCCGACTGCTCAGTGAGAAGCTGTACTTCAAGCACAGCTGCAGCTGGTAGGCTGGAGTCCGTCTTTTTGATGGCGTTCGATTTTTTAATCAGTATTTTCTTGAAGCACGACTTCGTAAGAAATGTGTGGACTGTAAGTGTGCCACTTTTCACGGAGCTTCCCCTTGAAATTTCTGAAAATTTCAGCAGGAATTGCCTGTGACAACAGCCCAACAAAAAAGACCGCAGTTCTGACAACCCAACAAAAAAGACCGCAGGTCTATCGGCCCAGCGGTTGCTGAGATCTAAGCCGGTTAGTAAAAACGCTCAGTAGCGGGCCGGGCCGAGCCGCTCATACTCGTACACATGTTTCCCGTTATATAGAGGAGACTCGCTATACGCTTCGCGCTCGCTCGTAATCATGGCCTGAATAGGCCAGGAGAATTGGCTTTTAGAGTAGGAAAAACCCACCTACCTGTTGGAGCCGGAAATCTGTCTGTCCCGTCGCAGGGGTCGCTCAGTTTAGGCTTCGTCACAAATATCTTCAGACCTAAAAACAGTGCGCAAAGAGCAGGCATGAAAATGTGTATAATTATGATGCAAAATTATTGATGATTCATTATGTTTTAACATTCAGTGTTTACTTATTATGTAAACGTTAGCGATGGCCGAATCGCGTTAAAAAGAACCTACTCGAATCACAATTGCCATTTCCGTCCGTGCCATTGCTTAGTAAGACTGCTTTTACGGTGTTACGAAAAAACATATGAGTTCAAATAATGCTATTAATTTATTGGTTGTGCGATTATTACCACCCGGTAGAAACAAACATAATACATTTCGTAATTATCGTAGATCGTAGGCGAAACTTTTAATATATAGACGCGAATGCTGAACGTTGAAAAAGAAATGTTCAACGTGACAAGATGAGCACGATAAATTATTTTACCTGTGATGAATAGATACTGAAATATTTTCCTGATGTTTAAGAAAAAGCGAAACAAAAACAACATAATTTGTGAAAACATTTTTGTCCATGAAAATAATTCGTCCATAGCACGCGACTCTTATGAGTGATTTTGGAAGACGGTTACGCGAAAACGTTATGTTGCAACAATTTGACGTTAAACAGTGTGGAAATGGTTTTTCTACCGCGACATTTTTTTTAAAAAGAAAATGCCTATTCAATAATATTCCGTTTTATTGCAAACCATTTTATCAATTCATTTAACTCTAATTAAGGACATACTTAAGTTTTCATGGATGTTCGATTTTTTTCTCAAACATTTAGCCATACTTAAACTCTGAAAAAATGGACAACATGTTTCTCAGAACATCTACAAAACATAATTTCGTACCATCGAGATCGTGTTCTCCTGTGGTGATGAACCGTATCTCGCGGATGCTGGGCAGCGTTCGGCTCTGATGTTCGGCTCCCAGTGACGGCACCGTGTACAGCTTGATGTCCTCTGAATACAGCTGATTCAGCTGACTCAGCTCAATGTGCGTCTCCAGACTGTCATCGACCAATGCCGGCCACCTCCTCAGACTCGTCTGACTGGCTATGTTGAGCACTGAAATAGAATAAAATGTAACGCAATATTCCTAACCACTCAAAGGTTCTAACCGACAACGGTGTTCTCAAGATCTCCGCAGAAGTGTCCAGGATTGACCGTAGCTACTGTTTACCCAAAATTGGTCATGATATTCATTCGTTGCTACCCTGCTGTAAGTGTAATCCATTTAAACAGACCGCTTTTTGCATATTTTTCCCCTACGCTAGCCGCTGTAAATGGATAGCTGTAATGTAATAGACAGATGTTGATAATCATTGATGTATACTCAGACTGAGCGCCGCCGGGTGTGAACTCACGGCAGCGCGGGGCGGCCCCGCTCCAGGTGCCATCAGCTCGACACGTCCTCTCCGTGAGGCCGACGGGCAGGTAGCCGGGGTCGCAGCGGTACCTGGCCACGGTGCCCTGCGGCGCCTCGGCCCAGGGCAGCTGCGAACTGATCCCGGGAGACAGCAGGACGGCACTGGATAGCGGCCAGGTGTCCGGGGTGGGGCACAGCGCCGCGCCACCGGCTGGAGAAAAACGGTCGACTTGCGGCTAACAGGTGCGCTCTATGCGAGTCATTTAAAGGGCATATAGTCGTGGGCTCTACATAAATATCGCTTCACTAACAAATGTTGGCTTCTCTGCAACGTTCATGATTTTTAACCCGCGACCTGGTGGGGGGGGGGGGCTATTTTTTGCCCCCCCTCCAGACTTTTCAATATATCTCCAGAACCGCTGCGCTGATCGTCACCAAACTTTCAGTACCCTCCCGGACATCAATTTTACACATCGTGACCAAAAATTTTTCCAAAGGCTATGATAGGTTGGCCGGAAATGACGTCAGAGTGACGTCATGTTCTGCCGTTTTCGACCCAAAAAAGGGTTTCGCGGGAAGAGCTGTCAGGCCTATAGCTTTGCAAATACAGAAAAATGATAAAGACATAAAAGCTGTAGATTGGACAGGGCTACAAAACTGCTATCTCGGATTTTTGAAATTTTTGGATTTTGACCCCCAAAAATCAAAAAATAGATTTTTTGGATATAATCATCGAAAAATCCTAAAAGTTTTTTGAATTTCGCCAAAACCGGAATATATGTGATAGTCCTTACCGCCTTCCATCCACATAACAAATTTGAGATTGATACCGCTTTTTTGGCGAAGTTATAGCGAAAAAACTGTTCAAAATTGATGACGTCAAATTTTCAAACTCAATTTTTAGCAGTTCTAGACCCCGTAGCGCAAAACAAAGACCACCATTAGACTCCCCGTGACGAGCTGCATCCAATCAATACCCATTTTATGCAAAACTATCAACTTTAAAATTTGACCTTTTTTGGCCTGACCTTGACCTGACCTTGACCTGAACTTCACCAGAAAGTGACCTAAGCCGTATCTGATAGTCTTATAACCAACACCATTGAGTTGGAAATGAAAAATTGGCCATAAAACATGTATCACACAACCTTAGTAAAGTTGGGCTCATGTGACCTGACCTGTGACCCTTGGTGACCTGACCTGTGACCTGACCTGGTATTGCCAGTGACCTCTAATAGCAACATATCCACTAGGCAACTGACGCCCTACCGCTGATTCTCGACAAAATGCGTTTTCCTCGGTGTTATAGCGCATTCCCTAGAAGACCCGTGAACGGTGAAACATGTCATCTTTGACCTGACCTGTGACGTCATCGGTGACCCCGAGGTCAATGAAATTTGGTTTCCCTCAACAAATTTGACAGGCCTTTCGAACGCCGTTTGAATCTTGCGGATCCGTCCAGTAGTTTCGGAGATACGAGGGGGGGGGGGCAAAAAATAGCCCCCCCCCAGTCGCGTTATAAACAGACCCCACCAGGGCGCGGGTTAAGCAGACGATGTAATTTATTTTAATCTATCGATGGGAGTGATTGTAAATTTGTAATTGCTTGTGTGGCCCGTAATCGTAAGTGAACAATTTATCTGAATGCATTTTTGTCAGCAGAAACAAAATTTGATTAGGGAACAGGACGTTAAGGCCAGGCTTAGGTATAACTGAAAGCAACAGCACCTTGTTCTATAGCATGCCTCATGCCCACCACCAAGGCCACATACCTGCCACTAGCGTCAGAGCTGCAATACTGCCGACGGTACGAATACTGCTGACCGATCGGCAAAGCACCCGCGCTAACCGTCCTATCATCGTACCAGCCGAGCAGGGTTTCCCAGCTGGATACCGGAGCACTACAGACGAAGCGCGGATTCACCGGCAGGCACTAATACCAGAGACGCACACTAGCACAACACCATCCAGACACTACCACTGCCACTTGCAAGGTAGGTACTAATGAAGACGCTTCCTCGGGCTGTTCTAGTCGAAATGATGACAAAAGGACGGTCACGGCACCATGGTCCCACGAAACACGCCTTTACAGTGGTAGGACCGACGAGGCACACCGCCTCTGCCTCTCCTCGATGATGAAAAGTCCGACTCGATGACAAACGGGACGGTCCCCTGCACTGAGGACTGACGGACGGACGGACGGACGGACGGACAGATACGGAGGTGTCCAGAACGGCTGCCCCGCACCGACCGCAGTGGGGGAGGGGAGGGGGGGGGGGGTCGGGTGCCCACTCCACTTCCACTTCCGGCCCACCCATCGCCTTTACCACAGACTATGTTGCAAGACTGTGATGTAGCTTTCAGTGCTCATGATCTGTGACTCTGTATAGCTTCAAAAAACGAAGCAAAATCAATGCTTTCCTTTCTTTGTTTTTGTTTTGTTGGGTTAGGCCCTTTCGGTCTGACAAGACCATTGCAGAGCCGGAAGGATGATAGGAATTAGGGGGAGACATTGGTCTGGGCAGGCACCCTAGTGAGTCGCCGGGGCTGAGCCCGTCCAGAGGACAGGCCACCCAGCCCCAAGGCACTCACTGCACCCGGCTACGGGGTGCGCTCCCTCGGGAGCAGCGGTGCCGCTCCAAGGGAGCAGCCCGCATGAGATAAAGTTGCCTGTCCAGCCCGGAGGGGGGTTGCGGCGTGGAGGAGTAGGATTTCAGTATCCTGAGGATAGAAGCACGGAACGGTGCTTTCCTTTCTCGAATGATCGGGCTTTTACGTTACGACTTACCGAACTATGTTCCAGTTTCTGAGCTCCTATTCCCTGACCTTCGCCGTTCCTATGGGCTTTCTTTATTCCATCTTAGTCGCCATCTGAACACCATGGACTGAGGGGAGGGAAGGGGAGGGGCGTTTAAGGCCACTTGGATTATCTACGAAACTTAACATCGCAGCGATACGCGCAAGACGGTGTTGGAAACGTTTCGCCGAGACGCATTTACAGAAACTTTTGAAATTTGAGGTCAAGTAACTGATCAAGGCCCGTTTTTTATTCAGTCCGAATGGGTGAATGCAGGTGGTCAGTTGCGAGACGATTGGATCAAAGGTCGGGTGTGTAAAGTTTCAGCTCCCTATTATAATATTCCGAGTAATCGCAAAAAGAAAAAAACATCCTGAGAAGGGGATGAAACCCGCACCCCCTTCGGCCCCGCGAGGAGGGTTAGCTGTTCCTTATGTTTATCGCTATATGCAGTCCCCATGGACTCGACTGGTTTTGGAGCCTAGCAGCGCAGCATATTGCGAAGCTGTACCTTTATTTGTCATACCTACGTTTTGGTCTGTGGGCTTTCTGACTCGCGATAGCAGTAAGCAATAAGTCACCTCACCTCGCCCTACGATGGGAGTTTTGAGAAGACTGGCTTTGTCCCGATTCCGACCATGCTCACGTCGTGCTGACGCTGCACAATTGCACATATAGGTATGCCTATTGGCTATTGGGCGCAGCATTGATGCAGCCGTCTAATGGAAGCTCCAGGATGAAACACAGGAGTCGAATTAGACGGGAGAGGCGGAGGGGGAGGGGCAGCCCGGTGCGGTCTGCGCCGAACGGGTCGGCCCGGTGCAGGATAATCTGTGTTGGACATACAAGTAATCAGCGGTGGAGAATTGTGCCGAGTTGGGGTTGCAGGGGCGCAGCAAATCCGCCGCCGCCCCAGCAGTGACCATGACCTCCGCCGTCTATTGCGGGTCCAAAGCCAAGCCGGCGTGAATTTGGAAGAGCTCGGACAGCCCCAATCCAGCACGATTCTTGTACCGCTGTGCGAGGTGCAACCAAAGGTAGGTATTTATATAAAAACACTGCTACCAAGCCTCCTAATAGGAATAGACAATAGAGTATGTACCTTGAGTTTCCTAACAGATCTGAAAGGAACTACCTAAATAGACAAGGAAACACTTCGGTCATTTTTAAGGTTAGGTCAAAGGTCAGGTCACCAGAGTTTAGAGATCATCAAAGGTCAAATTTAGTCCATTTCAATAATTTTGGAAACTGCCAGTGGCTAACTCGGGAACCAATAGAGCTACAGCGCCGCGGAAAAGCGCATTCGATAGCCCATTTCACAGACCTTTCTGGTAATGTTTTCAGCTTTAACCTAAGGTCAACGGTTTAGCCTCCAGAGGGTAAAAACTGTAAAAATAGCCGTTTTCACGAAAAACGTTTTCGGCAATAAGTATTGACTCAAGAGAGTCACGCTATTACTTTTGGCAGCATCGTGTTCCTCAGCCTCTCGTCGAGACACGGTAGAAACATCGTTAACCCGCGCCCTGGTGGGGTCTGTTTATAACGCGACCTGGTGGGGGGGGGGGGGCTATTTTTTGCCCCCCCTCGTATCTCCGAAACTACTGGACGGATCCGCAAAATTCAAACGGCGTTCGAAAGGCCTGTCAAATTTGTCAAGGGAAACCAAATTTCATTGACCTCGGGGTCACCGATGACGTCACAGGTCAGGTCAAAGATGAAATGTTTCACCGTTCACGGGTCATCTAGGGAATGCGCTATAACACCGAAGAAAACGCATTTTGTCGAGAATCAGCGATAGGGCGTCAGTTGCCTAGTACATATATTGCTATAAGAGGTCACTGACATTACCAGGTCAGGTCACAGGTCAGGTCACAAGGGTCACAGGTCAGGTCACATGAACCTAACTTTAGGTACTAAGGTTGTGCGATGCATGTTTTATGGCCAATTTTTCATTTCCAACTCAATGGTGCTGGTTATAAGACTATCAGGTACGGCTTAGGTCACTTCCTGGTGGAGGTCAGGTCAAGGTCAGGTCAAAAAAGGTCAAATTTCAAAGTTGATATTTTGCATAAAATGGGTATTGATTCGATGCAGCTCGTCACGGGGAGTCTAATGGTGGTCTTTGTTTTGCGCTACAAGGTCTAGAATTGCTAAAAATTGAGTTTGAAAATTTGACGTCATCAATTTTGAACAGTTTTTTCGCTGTAACTTGGCCAAAAAAAGAGGTATCGATCTCAAATTTGGTATGTAGATAGAAGGCGGTAAGGACTATCACATATATTCCGGTTTTTTCGAAATTCAAAAAACTTTTTGGATTTTTTGGCTATTATAATCAAAAAATCTATTTTTTGATTTTTGGGGTCAAAATCCAAAAATTTTAAAAATCCGAGATAGCAGTTTTGTAGCCCTGTCAATTCTACACTGAAAGAAAAGTACACCCAAAATTGGAATAATTTTACGGTGCCTAAATCTCCAACCCTAAGTGATCATTCTACTCCCCAGTGTAAACTGCTTTAACATGGGCGATTAGCGACTATTTTTACCACCGGGTGTTATCAAATAACTCCCATGAGCTTAAAAATACACTTTCTCTGGAGTAAAAGTACGGTGCCTAAAACTCCAACCCTAGAGGAATAATTTTACACCCCGGTGTAGGGGAGTAAAACCGAATAAAGCATGCGATTTACGGGAGTAATACTGCACTCCCAGTGTAATAATATCAAATCAGATTTCACCCCCTGCTTCAGGGTGTAAAAACAGAAAACAGCATTTATACACCAGAGTAGAAAAAAGTTGAGAGAGTAAAAATAATTCACATTCTAATTCACGTTGAAACAAAAACTCAGAAAGATAATTCTATGACTGAAAAGTTTTAGAGTAAAATTACCCCGAGTTAAATATACACCACTATTTCAGTTTACCCTCTGGTGTATTTTTATGCCTACGCTGCAATGTAATGGTATATCGTCTGCTTATATATACTTTGCACCAAAGTTAATGGTGAAGTCAAACAGATGGCATGCAATGACCATTTCAGATAGTAGGGTGAAGTCGTATAGGAGTACGCACTTAGTGGATTTCTTGCTCTCATTTGTTTAATATTTGAAGGAAAGAAATCGCAAATAGGGAATATTAAAGTTCATTGAATTAACCATCAACCCATGGGGCAACGATCCTTCAGCGTGAATGGAAGTGGTCTAAAACTGACATTTTCTGAACCGTTGCACTTGCGTACTCTTACCATATGGGGTGTGTAAGAGTACGCACGCCAGGCAGGTGGAGTACGCAAGCATATGAACACATACCTATGCAGCTTGCACTGTCCAAATGCTTAACTTCAAACTCAGAAGGCATTTAAGCTAATTCTAGTATCCAAAAAGAAAAACATAAAATAAATCTCTCAAGTCTATAAATCAGGAAATAATCATGTCGTGTGTTTCTTAAAAAATGCAAAATCAAAAAGGAGAATAACTCGTATTTGGAAAAATTTCGGATACGCATCTGCATCATAGTGCTCCATTGATGATATACCTATAAAACAAACGTCATTGAGCGATAGATTAATAATTCTATATTTCTGTATATTCGATTTAATGTATAATTCTGCGTACTCTTACCCTCCTGAACAGTGCGTCCTCTTACCGTACATGCAATTCGCGCACAAAATAACCCCCAAACGTTGTGCAAAACTTCGCAAACAGAATATTGCACTGTACAGTATTTCCCCAGATAACCTCACAAGTTTCCCACAACAATCACGGAAATGTACCTTATCTCAACTGCCAAGTATCAAAATTATTGTACCAAACCATAATAATATCATAACGCTCGAAAATAATATTCATCGCCTTAAACTCAACAGCGTCGCAGCTCAACGCCCACGTTCCGTTGGTGACATGCACGCACTGGCGGCTTCATGTCACTTCATGAACTCGACAAACCCGCGTTGCTAAGCAACCGAAACAGCTGATGCGTACTCTTATCGCCCGCGTACTCTTACCCGCCCTTACCCTACATATCGTGTAACCATGGGATGTCAGATACGCTATGGTCAGGATACGCATTGTGAACGCGTTGTACGAGGGATCCGAAATTATGAAACCATAAAACAGTAATGTCTTCCAGTCGGTGCGATAAAACGTGATTGCTACCAATGTAATAGTAATTAAGAAAAATCATGTTTATCACATATTATGTATTGATCATAGTTCAATCACTCACAGTTCAATCACTCGCATCGATCTCGATGAGGTTGACTACGTTAAATCACAGACACATTAGTCACATACAGTAACAAACCACACAATCACCTTGGTCTATGTACAGGGTGGCGCACGTAAAACCCCCAATGTGAAACTTGAAT